GTCAATTGTTGTCCCTTCTTTTAACTCCACGGTGCCAACGACTTTCTTTTCTTTTACAACATTCATGCGTTCTCGTTTTCCCATTGAACCACAATAAAAGCTATCTTTAGAAATGTTATATTAAGCAAAACAGTTGAGGAAAGCGATCAACCGATGAAAAGTACATTCAAAGATAAGCGCCAAATGGAGTCTTCTTTGTTTCCGATCAAGGGCATGATCACGTGGATCTTTTAGGACTTGTCATTGGCTAGCAATATGAATCCCCTGGTTTGCCGATTGCAGTGTTAATAGAAGCGCACAACTTTATTCTGACTTCTCCGACCAGTTCTCTGCTTCTGGACGATGGATACCTTGGTGATATAAACAATGATGTGAGCTCACTCTGTCTAGAAATAACCGACAAGAATCGATCGTACTATAAATGCACGATTTGTGGCCGAAAGTTGTCGAGGAAACAAAGACTCGAAACTCACTTGAGTTGTGTTCATGGCAAAGGTGAGAAATAACACAAGCCAATTACAGTTTTGAATGTGACCATAGTTAATCGAGGGGACAATATAATATGCATACGGAATTGGCTGGATAACATTTTTTCAGGGACAGTGAAACCAGGGGAGGGTTTTAGCCCCTCCCCCCCCCCCCCCGCAAGTTCAAAAAAAGGCTCTCTCCCTGATATGTAAGATCTACATTGTGACATGTATGTCGATTGACCAGCTACTGCTGTTGTTCCCAAACTAAGCCCAGTTTTACTCCAGTATTCTATAAGAAAACAAGAAAACATTGTTTAATATGTAGACATGTAATTTTTCTATGCAAATATTTCAAGCACATGCGGATGTAAATATTTTTTATTCTTAATCAGTTATTGTTTTAAAATTTTTAACAACAAATGCAACAGCAACTTATTAGAAATGATTAGGAATATACAAATATGTTCTAGGGGTCAATAAATTAAATTGTTTCTCGCATGATGATTTTTAGAGTTTAGCTTTGCTTTAGTTGATCAAACTCATGGGAGGCTCTGCTAATATCCTTACGAAGTGCTTTGGATTTCATTTGTTTCAGTCTAATCTTATGTTTCTGGATGATATCTTTCGCAAAAGAAAATGACCGCACTTTGACATACAATTGTATGATGTTGTGCAAAACATCTTTTGCAACACTACTGTTGATTATCAGTTGATAATTGGATAACAGTGAATTGTATGCTGAGACAACTTCAACATCATGAACAGATCTTGATATAATACTAGCAAAAGCTATATTCTGCACAGTAGTATTTGAAGTGGTATCCCTGAAATAATGTTCAGTTCTCTCAAAAATTGATTGAGCACTTTTTGTAATTGCCCACAAACCACCACGATTTAAGGATGAAGTTAACTTCTGGCATTCAATAGCATTCTGGTCTTCTTATTTGCCAGCCTTAAGGATGGAGATTGCCTGCTCGCTTTCTGATGATTTACTGACATGCTTGGTATGAAGTTTATGAAGCACATAACCGCCAATATACTGTAGTCCAGCTTTTTCTTCATCTGAAAGTTTAGTTAATGGGGCGCAAGTATAAGTGCTTTCAATTTTCTCCTTGCTGTGTACCAGTGAAATGAAACGGAGTTGTTACTGCTACAGTTAATTTGTTATGTAATTGTTCGTTTGCAGATAATCTCTCATTGGTGCCGTAATGTCATTATGCAATGGCTTTGCAAATGCCGTGTCGAATTCGGTTGAATTGACATTGGTACTGTTCGGCCAAGGATTTGGCTTGCTCTTTATAAATACCTTGCAGGTGCTTCTTGCGCGCGGAACGCGGAACTCAACAATTCTTCCAAAACCATCCTGCATCAAAGACTCCGTGGCGGCATTGAATTCATCTTCGGCAATTTCTCGGGCTGATCTTTTTCCATGTTTAAAGGAGCGATATGACACCACTGGACCTTGGGAGATTAAAACGTTGTCACGGACTATTTGTGTAGTGGGTTGTTCGATGGTTTTGTCACATGCTGAGTTGGTGACTTCTTTAAGAAACTGAAAAAAAAAGAAAGAAACTAATTAAAAACCAAAATAACGGGGAAACAGGTAAATGTAGCTGTATAGCCGTTGAAATTTGCATGTGAAAAATTGGCCAGCGATTTCTGATTCGTTTTGGTTTTGTTTTGCACTAAAATAAAAATGGAACGCGCTTTGGCTCCAGCGCTTTAAAGCATTCGCTTAGAGGAAATAAATACAACTCAAAACTCAAAGCAGACCGAAATGTGTAAAGTTGTCTAAGTTATGACTAAATAGATTGTTGGTCTTTGCGCGCGCAATTTCTATCAGCGATTAGAACACGGCAAGTATCTGGTGCTAATAATTAGAACATAATTGTTATGTATGCGCAATAAAGGTAATTAATCCAGAAAGGAAGTTTGTTGTTTTTTACGAATGCGTACCTGACATAGTATTTCCTTCTGCGTCTCTAGGTGAGTTACGTAGGATGCAGCGTTCTCCAGGGTTGCTTTCGTAATGGTAGGGTCTGGTTGCGTCGCTGGAACACCGGCCAACAGCTGTCATGGCGTGGTTAAACACGTGCAGGGCGCAGGCTACTCTGGGAATGAGTTCCGGAGTCTTCGATTTAGGCGGCACTTTGCCCTCTCGTATGGCTTCGTTTACCTCCGCGACAAACTGGTCCATTTTCTCCCTCAGAAGTTCTTTGCCTTCATCATCAAAGACGAATTACACGTTCTCGTCCACTCCATTAATGTTTTTAAACAGTTCAGTGTAGTCAGACACTACTTCGGTTGATAGCTGATCGGTGGCGTTGTCCATTTGGGTAAGGGTCGGGCGAAGGGCAAGTGGGGTTGCGAGAAGAATTCTGTCGACCAGGCCGTGTCCTTGGTCCATGCGAGCGATCAATTTGGCCGCGTTCACCAGTTGCGTGGATCCAAGGAGGCAGAAAGGCATATTCGAAGGGATCACCCTGCTTTCTTCGGTAGAGTAGTGGTAGCTGCAGCGTTCCCCTGAGAACAGTTTGCAGAGTAGCTGCACGTCGCCAGATGCGGTCTCCTCATCGGATTTAAGTAGCTTGTGCAAGATGTCAAACACCTCCGGTGAGAGAATCATGGCCTTTTTCTTGTTCGCCAGCAGTTTGACCAGTCCGGACGAGGTCGTCTTGCTGATAATGGCGTTTGTGAGGTCTAGTTGCTCCAGTGGATCCTGGGCAGCATATTGGATTGCAGAGGACTTGTCTGTATGAGAGAAGATTAAGATATTAAAATCCGAATTGCAGTGTATTTAATTGAAGGTTGTTTGCTTTTGTCTGTGAGTGAGTGTAAGTGCGGGAAGCACTGGCGCGACGTATGCGAGGTACAACGGGAAGTAAAAAGATATTTAAAATTGATTTTGGTTGAACTTACCCGTCCCAGGATATCCAACAAATATAGTATATATATTAAGTGGCTGCTTGTGAGTTGTTACATTGACCTTTGCGTTGTTGCAGGCAAGTATGAAGCTCGTTGTAGTTAACAACGATGGTACAAAGTATCCTTCGCAGCTTCCAACCGAGATTGCCTTATTCTTAACAAAATCGTACACGTCTGAGTCGTGAAATAGCTTTTGATACTGAAACTGCATAGTGTTGAGTTGTTTTTGAAGGTTGATCCACGTTTGTTCGTGTTTTTTGTTGAGTTTTGTTACTGCATACATTTTGATGCTCACTGTTAGACTGATAAGTATCGACTGAAAGTAAACTGAAATGAGCAGGGAATAGTCCTTAGGGAGTAGTATTGGTGGAAATACAGATTCAACCAATCAATGGCGGTGCGGCATTCATTTGTATACAAAATTTGAGCAATCGTTTTGGAGTAATTTAATTCCATCATTCTTAAAAAAAATTTTAAATTACTCCAAAACGATTCAGAGACCGGCACTATCTTTTCGCAACCCCCACTTATTTCATTCAAACGTGACAAAAACATAGGCAACTTTTTAGTCAGGAGTTCATTTCAAACCAATGACCAATCTGGAACTTTTAAATGCGCTCGCTCACGATGTAAAACTTGTCCTTTCATTCATAACGTAGAGAAAATATCGGGACCCAAAAAATCCATTAAGATCATTGATCACTTTACGTGTACCTCATCCAATGTTATTTACTGCATAACTTGCACTTATTGCAATAAGTTATACGTCGGCGAAACAGGAAGACGACTGGGTGACCGATTCCGAGAACACCTTCGCAATGTGGAAAGAAATGATAAGGACGCATCCAAACCAGTCGCTAGACACTTTAATCTTCCTTATCATTCTAAACAGCATATGGCAGTTTGCGGCCTTTCCTTACATCTAGGCAGTTCGGAAAGCCGTAAAACACTAGAACAAAAATTTATATTCCAAATCGGCACCCTTAATCCCCACGGAATCAACGAGCGCTTTTCATTCAACTAATTTATTCCTGTTTTCTCGTCACCATATTCCCACCAATGGCGTAGCTCCACTTTCTACATATAAATCCATACACAACCCACAATTCCTCTAATCGCTCTGACGAAGGGCTAACGCTCGAAACGTCAGCTTTTTTACCCTTTACGGTGGCTAATTTACGTTTTCAAAGCAGTTGTTAACACTAAATTACCTGTTGTACTCTCCCACCGACGCAGCACCACAGTTTCTTTAGAAACTTACCCCTTTATGCTTTCAAACGAGTTACTATCCGCCATATTTAATTTGCTAAAGAACACACGTGTGACGTATAGGGTCACATGATCAAAATCGAAGCGATTGCGGCTAAGCTGGATTTTGGGACAGTTTTCCCGCCGGAAAAAGAAAACTCAAAGAAGCTTCTTGTATCTGTTTCTATGTGATACCTGAAGCATTTAGACGGTATTCCCAAAAAGTGACCTTTTAGCCGTCAGTTACCCTTTAATGGCCACACTTTGTATCATGTAACCAATCACATATAAAGTACACAAATTGATATTGGATCAACTCTCTAGAAGCAGTGCTTACTTTAATGGACAGAAAAGTTATCATAATGAAAAATGGAAAATAAATTCATTTTTATTCAAAGTCAGGTAACAACAGGAAAAATCATGGCAAATGTTTAAATTACTATGACACTTTTCTCTCCTAAGTAGAGTGTCCTTCAAGTCTTTAATTTCAGTCCGGAGAGACTCGTTTTCCTTTTCATGCTGAATGCGTAGATCGTCCATTTTATCACGTGATTCTTTCAGTTGATTTTCCAAGGCAGAGTTCCTTTTTAGGAGTTCTTTCTCTCTCTCTAATGTAGTTATAAAAGCTTAGCTCAGTGGTGAACAACCGCATTTTTGTCTCAAACATCCTCTGAAAGTATAATTGTCTTAGATTCTCTAAAGCTAACCGAATTCAGGGAATGGTGCTCTGATATGCTTTAGAAAGTTAGATGGTCAGTATAAGCAATGAGCCAATAGTCAACTGACTAAGCTCTGACGTCTCACATGTCATACCAATCGGGGATCACGGCTGAATAGACAGACAGACAGACAGACAGACAGACAGACAAACAGACAGTCAATAAGCATGGTCCTTTCTTCAGTCATCCGGTCGATAAGTCAAACCATATGTTGGTTGGTCAGTCAGTCGATCTGTCAATCACTCGGTCAGTCATTCAGTTACTCAGTCAGTCAAGCAGTGACTCGGTCAGTCAGGCAGTTACTCAGTCAGTCACTTGGTCAGTCAGTCAGTCAGTCAGTGACTCGGTCAGTCTTATTTAATGACAGATCAGTTGTTTCAATGTAACCAGCACATCATTCACGAATACCTTGATGTGTTTCAGTCCGCAAATGACTAAGCTTTCAAATAATCGATAGTTATACACCTTCACCCCTTTATGTTATTGCAGATTTGACGACAAAAACAGACAAAGGCCGGCATATTGGATGATTATCCTCTTTGTTGAGAGCAATTACCTTTAATGAGTTCTCAGACAGTGGAGGCAAAAAGGCGTGGGGGGGGGGAGGAGTTGTCCAAAAACGGCGAGAGTTGCGCTAAGAAATATGAGGAACAATCTCTGCTGTTTCCAGCGTTTTCTTCGCCCACTCACTATTGCGTTGGTCTGCATCGACCACCAGCCTGGATTAAAGTTGGAAAAAATAGATATCTTACCTTGGTATTGTTGTTCAAGGACTGCCATCTTTTCCTCCAATTCTTTCTCCTTCTTACCCTAGTTCAATAAGATTAAGTACATTTGACGTTTTATATACAAAACATTGTAACATATAATATTATAACATAACATATCGAGCCAGGACGTTTTAAAGCACGCCGACCATGAGAACTCCGCAAAGGCGCATAACACACAATAACTGAAATTTGAGTTTTCAAAGAACAAAGATTGGGTGTGTTGCAAAATCAGCTATAATTTAGTCTGACTTCTTAAATGGTTAAATACTCTTCATAACAAAATGATCGCCAAACTAACCTTTAGAGCCTGTTTTGTTTACTTGTTATAGATGGGAGAAATGTTTTCAACTTTTTCCTTCAATAACGTTGTTCAAAAGAAAACGAAATCGGTGCGTCGTAGTTGAAGGGCATTTTGGCGCGCTTGATTCATCTCAAAATTGAGTACAAAAGTAAGAAAGAAAGAAAAAGACAAAGTCCTAAACTTAAAAACTGATTGACATATTGTCCCATCAGTCTCCTCATCTCTAAACAGTCTTCAAATAATGTATTTAAAGAAAAGAAGTGTAAGTTAGGCACCTACCTTTTTAGTCATCTTGCGCGCCCCGAATGATTCCTCAATCGGACCTAAGTTATTTGTTGGAAGATCTGTGAACCAAATATTGGCTTTAGAAAGGACATCCAATGAGCTGGTTGCGCATTCATTGTCTTCTTCTCCAGTGAACTGCTTGTACACGTAGTTTATCCACGAATTGCTCAT